GTTAACGGGAAGCAGAAATAAACCGAGCCAGCTCCAACTGAAAATTCCCGACATTGTGTACTGTGAGATGGAAAAAAAAGAGATGTATCTTTTTTTTTTTTCTTCTGTTAATATGCAGATCCCAGGAGGATCATGGGAAGAAGAGGAAGAAAGAAAAGACGTTTCAGTTTCATGCTGAACTTCGAAATTACACAGCCCTGGATGCTGTGGGATGGGTAGGTCTTAATCAAAGATTGATATCTCTAGATATCAATAATTACCCAAGGATATGTTTGTGTTTAAAAAATATATGTTCCAATATCGAGTTTGTAGTAATTGGCTTGTGGTAGTTTATCAGAAAGACGTAAAAAGTGTACACACTGAAAGTCTGGCTTTCTGTTTGACAGAAATCAGCAACCAGAGGACTAATTTTAATCGCACTAAATAACGTAAAACCAGGAAGTGAAAGCCCCTGAGCTTAGTGCCACAATGCTGACCACTTCTGGAATACTTTCAGGGTTTCCTAGCACAGAGACAGTGGAGATGTTCTCGTGACAGTGGGTTTCTCCACAGGGAGCGGTGGCAGTGCTGTTTATGCAGATCTGCAGAAGGATCCACTCCAGGTTTTCTTCAGGCAGCGAGCCCAGTCCCAGCGCTGGAACGCTGACAGCTCCCCCGTCCCTGCAGAAATGCGGATACCGCGTCCTGCTGGAAATTTGTGAGTCTTTCTGGCACCATTGTAGTAGTACACCCACACCAACTAAACTCTGATATTATTACATTAAAATCACTGCCAAAATTCATGAGATGTTTAACAGTCTCCATCCCATAACCCCTTTTTCCTATACCCTCATGTGGTCAGTATTCCAACGCAGAAGTGTTGTTTGTTGTCAGCAGTATCAAGACGTGACGTCCTGCCCAGAGGAAGAAATGTCTTGTGTCTCCAGGCTGTGCCAGAGGGACAGAATCAAGATCAGTCCCCATCTCAAAGCAGCAACAGCAGTGGGACTTCTGACAGTTCCCTCTCCGACCACCGGGAGGAGCTCTTGGGCAAGGATCCACTGACGCCTGGTTTGTTCTGTGCTTTAATGTCAGATTCTGTAGAATGATGCCACTCTTGATGTTTTTGTACAAAATTTGATGAGGATGGAGTTTGACACATTTTATGCCTCTGACACACAGAGGAACCACATTTGAGTTCTCCCCTGCAGACTGAGATCAACCAAAAACGCACAGATAACAAAGACAAGGTGAAACTTTGGAAAGATCGTCTTTTTCAAGTATTCATTACCAGACCCAATCGAGTTGAAATCTTATTTTTTATTGTTGTATCTTTATCTTTGTCTGTGTTTTTAGGAAGTGTCAGATAACGAGAGGCTGACAGAAGCAGCGCACAACCTCAGAAGTGTGGGAGACACCAGCGTGCCCGTAATCCTGAACATCATTGGTAAAGATTTAATTGAGAAATTCAGCTCAGAATATCACCCAGACCTTCATGTGTAGAAACCTTTGTCCATTTGTTTCTCTTTCTCTGTGGATGCAACAGGTCTAGAAAGTGCCAAGAGAGAAAACTATGAGGAAGCTTTCTGCTGCTTTCTAGCTTCAGCTCAGCATGGCTACAACAAGGCGCAGTTTAACACGGGGGTGTGCTATGAGAAGGGAAGAGGAGTCAGAAAGGACAAGGAGAAGGTGAGACCGTTGTTCATTTTTATGATACTTGCTAAGTATTGACACAATAAAATTAGCAAAAAAAAACCCAAAACAACAATTCTTATAATATCAGTTAAATCAGGCCTATATCATAGATGACCATAAGAAAAACCAGAAATGCAGTTCTTAAAATATAAATATACCGGATGTTGTGTGTCAAATCCTAAACTTATTTATTACAAAGTCAATGTACATGTTATCTATATTATAGAGTCCAGTCAGAGCTGAAGCACATTCTGAAACTGAGTAAAATATTAGTTTTTATCTCTGTTATACATCACATTAGTTGAATTTGTTTTATTAATGTGAAAGATGTTAATGCTCATTCATTCCTCTATTCCTTAAAAACTGTTTTGTTTAAAAAAACAAACAATAAGGTTACTTACACCTGTGCACCTGTTTTGGTTTTATTAACATCCCCCCCATTTTTCAAGCCCTTAGTTTCTCTTTTTAGTTACAGTTGACACTTATCCCAACGCAGGTCATATTTAATTTAATATTTTTAATTACATTTAATCTGAACCTATGTCTGTGTATTAATGTATTTATTTTCATATTAAATTATTCACTTTGAACCTGATTTTAATATTTTAAGTGTTTGTCTTTTCTCTGTAAGGCTCTTCACTACTACAAGCTTGCGGCCATCAGTGGCCATAAACAAGCTCAGTATCGTTATGCAAAGCTGCTGCTGGCCAACAGGGGGCATCAGAGTACAGAGGAGGTGGACACAGCCATTAAGTTACTGGAAGAAGCAGCTACAGCTGGGCTCACAAAGGTACAAATCAAGACAGGGATTCTGTAAAAGTTCAAACTCTCTATGTGATAATCTTTGCAGCTACAGTATTGAAATACTGTTACGTAATTAATGAATAACTTACTTTATTCTCTTGTCTTTTAGATTTACTGAACTTTTTCATTAAAATTATGCCATTTTCAGAGCAGCACAGCAGTAGATAATATAACTAAGACAACTGATTCATTTGATTTTATGTTGATTTAATGTGTGGTCAGTCACACCATTGTGGCAGGTTAGATGATTTTTCTTTTTCTGTTGTGAAAAACAAAAAATAATTAACTTCAAAGCATTCATAAAAGCCCAAATTTCAAGAATATTTTTATTGTTTAAAAATCTTTAGTTATCTAACTTTACTAAGAGAAATTATAAACACCACAATTAAGCATATTATGCTTATGAGGTTGAATAATTAAGAAAAATGTTGGGATCACAGAATATTTTTTTTTTAATTATTATTATGGCAGCTTGTCTGGACTTAATTATTCTATAAATATAATAAGACAAGAACTTCTTAACACAACTTTTTTTTTCCTTTTCTGTTGTTTAGGCCCAGATCTGCCTGGCCTCTTTTTACTCTCAGCATCCTGCCAAAAATGTGCACAAGTCCATTCAGTACCTGAAGATGGCAGCAGAGAGTGGAGTGAGTCCCCTTCTAGATAATTCCACTGTAGTTGTTTGTCAGTCGCTTTTACTGGGACATTGCCCTCCCCATCCTGGTGCATTAGAAAAGTTTACTACAGACATATGTTACTTCATTAGGATTTTGTACAACTTTCTGTTTCAGCTTTGTTTGTATACTTTAACTGTCTTTTACTTATTATTACTCTTGCAGAATTTCACTGTGTTGGTTCATTTAAAATTGTACCTGCAATGCAAGTAACTCATGAAACCTGTTTGTTAATTTCTGGACCAAAATGAAGCTTATAAAACTTAAACTGATTGTTTTTGTGCTCAGGACAACTCGGCTCTGTTCTTGTTGGGTCAGTGCTACGAAAGCGGCATCGAGGTGCAGCAGAATTTAAAGATGGCAGTGGAGTTTTACAAGCGAGCCGCACAAGCAGGAAACAAGCAAGCAAAGAGACTACTGACGCCTCCTGATAATTCATACGGGGGTAGGTTCAACTGATCAATAGGAAACATGTATTTCTCATTGTTGATGTATAATGGCTGTTTTTATTTATTTTTTTCTCACACTTGATAATGTAGATGTAGCAATGCGCTCCATCCGATCAGCTCCCTGCTTCTCTGTGGCCGACAGCTGGCGCCAGCCGCTTTCTTCTCTGGCCCATTGTGCCCAGTCCAGTCTCCTCTCTCACTCGTGGAGCACCGGCAGCCTGTGTGAACCTCCGTCACTATCCTCCACATGTGTTCACCTCCATCCGCCCGGCACAGAAAGGGGAGTTTGCCAGTGGACAGTAGGGATAGGATAGGAAGAAAACAAAGCCAAGCTACATGCACAAGGAATGTACTTCAGTTTGAATGTGGCATCGTTGAAAGGAAAGGGTCAGTGTTTTGTGTCTATATACTGTGAGGTCTGAATATGTTTGTGTTTTTTTTTTGTTTATGTCTGAAAGATGGTTAGAAAACAATCTGACAGCTTTAGTTTTTTTAAGGCTATGAATGTCTTTATTTGTCCTCTAATGTGCAAAACCCTTCAGATTACTTTTGGTTGGGTTTCTCTGCTTCCGCACAAGTAGGATTAATCTCTTCAAAAGAACTACAGTTACCAGGAATAATGCTAATCTCCGCTGTGTTGTATCAGTGTCATATTTCTAGCCACAACCTTTGTGTCTTTTATTGTAAAGCAACCATTTCAGAATTTTCCCCTCTGCCAACCATGTTAACCAGCTGTGCCAGTGTTAATTTTGAGGAGGATGTTTACTCTGTGAAACGCACAGTTTTAAGTAAAAAACTTTTTTAAAAATCCAACTGAGTTTCTGACTTTCTGTGAAAGTCTATGATATCTAATTTGATTAAACTTAAATAGCCTCTGTGCATGCATGGGTTCTCTTTGGGTACTTTGGCGCCCACACCAATGTACCCAAAGCATTCAAAAACATGACTTTATTTTTAATTAATGGAAACAATTAATTGGTCTTTCTAATTTTTATTTTGCTATGAGTGAGTACATATGCTTGTTTGTCCTGTGATGGACTATTGACCTGTCCCGCCTCTCACCCAATGACCACAGGAGATGGGCACCAGAAGACAATGTATGAACAAACTAGGCCTCACAATTTGGCATTAATGTAAACAACCTTTTATTTTATAATACCGTTTCTATAGTGTCCAATCATCCACCTATTCATCTATAAATTAATTTTAAATCTTTTTATCTACGCTGTAAAATGTTTACTGACAATTTTGTAAATTAGGTCTGAAGAAGGGTGGAAATCTTAAAACGAAAATGTGTTGGAGCCTTGGAACAAGAATAGTTTGATTCTTGCCTGGCTCTTTAAGAGCAGCCGTGTGTGTTCAGTGTGCTGCGTGATGTAACAGCCCCGATGATGTGTGATTTCATTACCTGAGTTGCAAACTAACTCCAGTAGATTTATTATTACGGCTGCGTCCCTCCGCTTCGTGCTCCCAGCGTCTTCCGTTCGCGGCTCCTATTGGCCGGCTGCGCTGAGAGAGAGACGGAGAGGGCTCCACAGCGCCACGCCGCGCAGCTCCGGGGATCATCTGGCGCAGAGAGAGAGCGCAAAGCTCGGCCGCCAGCAGCGCAGCGAGCCGCGGGGCTGGTGAGGGCGGAGGGATGATGTGATGCGGGCGGCCCGGCTCAACGCTACGGGCAGGACTGGCACTTAAAAGCAGCGCTTGACACCGGCCCACTACTTTGTGTCTCGTCGTCGTGAGAAGGGAAGGGAGGCGCGGACAGCTGAGCGAAGCGGTGAGTGGATGTAAATAGATGCTCTAACTGGGATGCACTCCCCTCCCAGTGCGGCGGTGGTGATGGGGCTGAAGAGAGAGAAGAGATGCGAAAGATCTGCTGCGTCTGCCCTGAAAATTAGACCCTAGATTTCGCTACAGCACCACCTTTACTTTTAATTCCTGGCATTTTATGTACGCGAGATTAGATCAGGTTGTCCCTGGTTTGTCAAGGAGGGAGTTTACGCAGGCTGCAAGAAAAGCAGGCGCAGGAATACTCCACCCATGACATCATCGACTTTTGCAAGTTCAATTTCTCCCCAGCTTATGCTTTCATCTGTTGCATTTCTTCTTCTTCTTCTTTTTCCTAGAAGCAGAGCAGCTCAGAGTTGAGGGAGGAGACGCGTCATAACTAGCTGGTTTCCTCTAAAATGTGACATGATTAATCCAGGAAGCCTGTTTTTGAAATTAGCTAATAAAATCTTCAGGTAAAAACACTCTTATGTGTGCAAATTGATTAGGGATCAACAGAAGATTCTGATGTTTTTCTCCACAGTTATAGAGGCAATGGTAGAATATGTATGTCAAAAATATTGCATTTCGTCTTTTCAAGTACATTTGTGAGAAAGGTCATGACAGGTGGGGGGGATTTCCTTATAAACTCAAATTCGAATATATGTTACAGTTTAAAAGCATTTAAACTCAGACTGAGATGATGTTCAGAGATTCTGCTGGTAACATCTTTCCATCTCCTGACTAACTTCCCCTGGCATGATGCACAGCAGATTTATTGAGGGCGACTTTGGAGGAAACATAACAGCCTCTTTGTGTTGACTGTGTCCCACTGTCCTGCAAACTGCTGTGTCATTCTGCTCCCTTTCTCCCTGTAATAACCCTCCTTTCTCCTCCTCTCCCTGCATCCTGTCTCTGCCCCACTTAGCCCGTAACTACCAGAGACCTGTCTGCATCGCGGAGGGGAGGGTTTCAGGCGGAAAGGTCTGCTGTTTGTGTGTTGACTGATGATGCAGTTTGTCCACATGATCAGTAACGACGTGAAGCTACAATAGTTTTTATTGACATTTTAACCATTTTATTTCATCGGTTTGTAGAATTTACTGTATACAATGTCACTTCACCAAAACTCTTGAGAACTTTTAGAAATTTGTCAAGTTGCCACCAAAAACTTACATATAATTTATTGGGCTTTTAAGTGACCAACCATCACACAATACTGTGTAATTGTGAAGTGGAAAGAAAATTTGATTTTCAAATTTACATTAAAAAATGTTGGCATGCATTTTGTTGTCAGTCCCTCTGAGATATTATGTTATAGAGCCTGCAGTCTCTAATTATAGTGAATAATAATTTTATAAACTTTACACTAATATATTTTTGTTTATTCTTTGTGAAATCACTCATTTTCTGTTGCATCCATTTTCATATCCTGCCACATATTCTGAATCAGATTTATGTCTCCACTTTGAGTAGGCCATTCTCACTGAACAATATGCTTTGATCCAAACCAATCCATACGTCTGGCTTTATGTTTAGGCTTGTTGTTCTGCTAAAATGTGAACCGTCATTCCCAGCTTCAAGTCTTTTGTGCCCTCTAACATGTTTTATTTCAGGATTGACCCATTTTCCCATTAACATTGATCAGTTTCCCTAACCCTGTTAAGGAAAGCTCCTCCACAGCATCATGTCTCTTACTGTGGAGACACTATGTTCAGGGAGAGGCTGGTGTCAGTTTTCCTGCACCCATGCAGGCAGTAGCAGTTCAGTTGTATCCATATCTGACCAGACCAACTGTTCCATGTTTGATGTATCCTGTAAACTGCTGGAAGGAAGCTCCTTCTTATTGCTTTCTTTTTTCTTGTCGCACTTCTATAAAAGTCAGGTTTGTGAAGAGAAAAACTAATGGTTGTCTTGACAGTAGATCTCTGCAGCTCCTCCACGTTGGCTGTTTTTTTTTTTCTTTATTAATGCTCCTCTTATGTGGGTGTCAGATTAGATGGATTGCCATATCATTTTAGGTTTGAAATGTAGCCATACTCTTTCTATTTCAGGTGATGACTTAACAAGGGATCTACTGTCCTGCGGCTTTTCAATGCGTCCCTGTTCTTACACACCTGAATCAAATGAATGGCTCATTAGCAGGCATTTGCCAAGTTTGATGGCATGCTGAAGGGGCAGTTCAATCAATTTATTCTCTGACCTGTGTTAGAGCAGGGATGAGTCTGAAACATGCAACACAGTAAATTTCGAAGACTAGAGGTGGAGACCCCTGACTCCATGGGATGTTGAAAGCTTGGGTGATTTTGTTGTGTCTGAACTTGCTTTAAATCTCTCCCTGACCTGTCCAGGTCCAGATACCAGGTCTGGTCTCTAATAATCTCTAAAAAAAAAACAACCTCTGAGTCTTTCACAGAACAGCAAGATTTATAGTGAGATTAGATTAAAAAGAGATTGGGACTATTTGTTAATCAGGTGACTTCTGGGGGCAATTGGTGACACGAGGTTGTATTCAGAGGAATCGAAGTAAAGGTAACAGAATACAAGTACTTGACATAATTTACAGGCTTGTATTTGTAACACATTTTGAAAAAACTAAAACAATGAAGTTTGAAGTTGTAAAGTGACAAAATGTGGGAAAAGTTCAAGGGCTGTAAATACATTTGCATGGCATTGGAAAGTATGTTTTTCATCTAAAGTCAAGAGCTGATCTGTTGGCTGAATTGGTATTTAATCCAGCATGACAATAATGGTTTTGTTGTGACAGTGGAAACCTTGGTGCCGGTAGTTTGAACCTGTTGATTGTGTTTGAGACACAAACCCGCAGATGAACACAGATTCAGCACTGACAGGTTGTTGTGTGGCTCACGGGAACAACACGGCCGCCACCCAGGGGGGCGGGTGCAGATAGAGGACCCGCAGCAGCATAATGCACCGTCTACATATTCTGCTCTCGTTTCAATTCTGCCCCGGCCCTTTTCCCATGATAATGACATGCTTTAAAATCTGCTGTGCTCGAGTTTTCCATATCTTTAAGACAAAAGGGCTGTGATGACTGCAGCAATGTTTGAGCCGGGTTTGTTTGTGATTAGGTGGCAGGATGTTTATCCGTTTGGTTTGCGTGTCTAGACATGTTTACCCGACTGCTTTTCCAAAGGGGTTACAGGTGGGTTAGTTAGTGATGTAACTAACTAACCCACATACAAAACCCATATTTTGTATGTGTCACGCCTTTGATTGNAATATTATTCTACCACTCTNTTTGTTGCTATCAAGCCATCTTTAGTCCGCAACGCAGAGCTGATCCACCCAGAGATAAAAGAGACAGCTAGTTAGCAGGACTGCCTGACACCTCTCTTCCCCACAGGCCAGCTTTACTCCTCAGCTTCCCCTTTGAAAGTGAGTCCTGATTTAATGGATCGAGAGTCTGAGTCATTCTGGGCATCATGCGAGTCTATTTCAGCGTTGTGACTTTGATGCTGTATTTCTCAGCTCTTCGTCTCTTTCTACAGGATCTTAGTAGTGTCTTGATGTGTTCTTTTTGAAGCCTGTTTAAGCTGCAGCCAATGAGATGTGATATCAGACACTGAATTAATAATCAGAGATGCTCCAGTAAGAGGTGTTGTGGCCGATTTTCAATCACAATTTGGGACAGCTGTGACCTGCTGTTATGAAATTTAGATTTTTTTTTAATTTATTTATTAAAAGAATCTTAATCTAGTATATAAGTGTGTGCTTCAGTTTAGTTGACAGCTTTCTTTCTTTCTGTTGCTCTCCATCTCCCAACAGCTCCATCCTTGCGGTGTATTTCTAGTCAGACATGATGTCAGTACAAACTCCGCCCCTCTCCCGTTCTGGCTCCACCCCCTCCACTGGGGGTCTGGCAAATCGCAGTACACCCTCAGCCACCCCTCCCACCTCTCTGAGTCTTCGCTCATCTTACAACCAGCTGCTTGGTCGCGACGTCATCAAGGAGTCGATGGAAACCGGGAGCTCGGCCACTTTGCCCAAGAGCCGTCAGAGGTATGCCATGACCACTGTGCGGAGTGCCATGGGGATAAGTGACAACTTTGCTCTGTCCTCTAAGTACCAACCAGTAACCAGAGGAAGAGGACTCCCAACCAAGTCCTCATCCAGTTCTGCCCTCTACTCTTCCTCTTCTTCATCCTCCTCCTCCTTCAACACAACTAACCCCAAACTAGCCAAGAATGGAGCTAACATGCAGAGGCGAGCTGAGAGCCAGCAGCTACAGCTGAGCAGGGCAAATACTGTGGAGAAAATTCACAATGATCTCTTCAATAATCCGACTTCAGATTGGCTGGAGTTTGGGAAGGACAACTCTCAGCTTCCTCCGTTTCGTAGAAGAACCAAAAGCTTTTTGGAGTACCACGGCAAATGCTGGGATCTGGACCCCAGTTGGGAAAACAAAGAGGGGAAGGAGGAAGAGGAAGAGGAGAAGAAGCAGCTGCCTGCATCCGAAAAAGAACAGGACAGCCCTGCCAAAGAAAGAGACAGTCAGAAGGAGGAGAAGACCAACTGCAAGCAAAACGGTCACGAGGAAAAGGATAACGTGGAGTCTGTCGTGGAGGAAGATGAGGAGGAAGATGAGCCCACCCCAACGCCGAGACAGCCCCTACTGCCGGTAGTGGTTGAGGCGCCTCTTTCCTCCACCTCCTCCTCTTCTGCAAACAGCCCAGAATGGGTGTCAGACAACCTCAACCACCTCCAGAATCAAGCCCCAGCGCCAATTCGAGAAGAGCTGTGTCCCCAAGTGCAAGCTAGTCCACGTAGTCCTGCAAAGCCAACTCGAACCTCCCAGCCCCGGGTGATCAAAGTGGAGTTGCACCCCAACAACGAGAATCAGTTTTTGCAACAATACCCTCCATTCTCCCCTAAGCAAGCCAGAGCTGCTGAAAAAAGCACCCCTACCAAGAATTGGGTATCTCCGCCCCTGCAGGAACCGGCGCCAGAGACGGGCCTTCCTAAAGTGGGCCTGAAAATGGATTTGACTCCTGACACACCATCAGAGGATGAAGACTCCAGCTGGACCACTCTGTCTCAAGAGTCACCCTCTCCACAGAGCCCAAATGAGACAGGTTTGTTATGTTTATCCTTTCATCCGATTTTTTTATTTAAAGAATTTTAATTTATTTTTCCTCCTTTAATCATACCCCAATTGCACCATCTTTCCTCTATATCCTTCTACCTCCATTTGACAGATCTGTAATTTTACAAAGACGCACTTTAACCAAGCAAGGTACTACAGCAATAATGTTGGAGGCTTAAAGGCCCCCTTGAGCAGCCTTATGGTGCAGAGAGGAAATACGGTGTTATAGAACAGGATGCTGCAGAGAGAAGGGCGTGAAAAAGCAGAGAAGAATTGGAGGGGAGGGGATTTTCTGGCATGTATGTTAAAGTATTATCTCGCTAATATTAGGGTATACAGAGTAACATAAAGCCAACAGAGAGAAAGCAAGACTGATTGGTGACTATTGGGCCTTGCCACGGGTTATGAGCTCAGGCTTTGCCATGACAACAGAAACTGAACACACACAGACTATTAGCGATATTTATCCTCTGGGTTTTTATTTCTATCTGTGGTGTTTTGTATTGACTGAACACTTGCATTACAAGGCCTTATCGAGCTTATCTATGAGCGTAGTTCCTTTGTGTACATTTTGATGATATCCTCATGTGTAATATATGTAACTGCATATCCCTGTCATCCATCAGCAGATGTATGGGCTGAAGGGGATCTGCCCCCAGGCTGGCGGGAGATCTCAGACTCATCCGAAGTCTATTTCTGGCACGTTCCCACCGGCACTACACAGTATGACCGACCCGTTGCCTCTGGAAACCAAGATACCACTTCTAGCAATGCGCCAGACTCTGAGCATGACCCACAAAAAGAAACACAAGACTCCCTTAAGCTACCAAATGAGGTAAGAGGACTGCTAGATGCAAGACATGATAGGGTGAATTTTATGGTGTTTGTGTATTCACAATGCTATAAATAAGTATTTGCTCCCCTATGCATTTCTTCAGTTTTTTTTGTTTTTTTTTGAGACACCTGAACTCTTAAGCATCAAACAAATGTTAATTTTAGACGATTATAACCATAGGAATTACACAATGAAAAGTTTAAACGATGATTTCAATAGTTAAAGGGAGAAAGCTATGTGAAAAACTGCATGCAGTTTTTGGAAAGATCAATTTAATTTCACAATATCTGTAGAATCAAACAGAACCTGTCTGACATTGTAAAGCAGGATAAAATATCTGAAATAGGAAAACATCATGACATCATGTACTAAAGACATTTGCAAATCATGAGTTAAGAAAAATCCGCAGCTCACCAAAACTGGACTAGCAAAACAAAAAGGGTAGAGGGGCCAATTCTGTAACGTCTGAAGAAAAACTAATATATTAATGGGCGAAAGACAGAATTAAACAGACAAATATGGTGGTATTGGTGATGTTCTGATGGGAACTTAATGAATCACTTTAACTGATGAAACTGTGAATCCTGCTCCATAGTAAGAAATCCTGAAGAATATTCAGTCATATCTAAAACATAAAGTTAAATAACCTGAGTTTTATCTAATTTGGTACTTTTTGAATTTTATTTTTTTTTCTGAAATGTTAATGAAACCCAAACTTATACATGTAGAGGAAAGGACTCAAACATATTTCAAGATTTATGTAGCATATCACAAGGTTCTTTTGGTTGAAGCTACACAATAGTGATGCTGTTTGATAAATGTCAGTTTGTTTCGATGCATTACTTCTTTGTGTTTTGTTGCATCTTTTCTTTCTTGTTTCCAGCGCCCGAGCAGTTTGATATCTGACAGCTCAGTGGAGCCGGTCCCTTCTCCGTCTGGTTCCTCCCCGTCCTCTTCCTCCTCCTCACCCTCCAAAGGCCTCTTCTCTCCCAATCCAGTTCTCAGCACTACCACTCCCACATCAAAAGTATGCCAAATTTTCAATATAATTTTTTTCTTTTTTTTTTTTTTTTTTGCTGGATATATGAACATGGCTTTTAACATATCCAACTAACAGAGAAAATGTGTCTCAAGCTGAATTAAAATAAAATAAAATAAATGTTTGCCAGCTGTCACAAAGTAAAGGAAACCAAAACCATTTTTTTAAAAACCTGTCAGAACTCAATCTTTTCCTCCAACAATTCCTGTTTTTTCTCCTTTGTCTTCAGGACTTGAAGGACTATCCAGTTTACCCAGATCCCAGTCTTAAAGCATTTGAAGGAGCTACACTCCGCTACGCCTCTCTTAAACTCAAGTAAGTCATGGACAGATAACCGGCACACTCCAGAAATGTTGGCACTCCTGGACATTTAAGTGCCTTGAGCTAAATTAATCTTTCCTTGTAATAGCACAATCTTACACTGAAAAAAGTGCAACCTTTAATTGAGCACAGTTTTTCAGTGGTAATTTTGTGTTCTTTTTTGCAATCTCGCAAGACACTTACTGCAACTTCAAAGAAGTTTCAAAACAAAAACTACTGAATGAGAAAGAAAAGGAAACATAGCTTAAGCCTGTGACTAAGGGATAAGAAAAGATTCTTTGCTTAAAGAAATTTGCTCATATCAAAAATCAAACCAGTAATTTAAAAAAATCGTCTTGACCCATCACAAATAAAGCTGCACAAAAGCCCACATTAAACTATGCTAAAGTTTTCAGTGAGCACAGTGACTGGAAAGCTCAATGTAAGACATAAAATGATTTATATTTTAGTTTTAATACATCTGAAGGCATTATATGCACACAACCAACATGTTGAATTTCTTAAAATTATTTATTTATTTGTGTGTGTGTGCTACACACAGCTTTCACCAGTTTTCTTTGGTAAACTTCTCATGAACATCACTCATGTCTCATAACTTTCTGCAGCCCTCCAGCTCAGCTTGAGACAGTGGACCTTAACAGCACATTCTCCGATCCAGAGGCAATGGTAAGCTTGCATTATACCAACCAGCAATCTTCTGAAATATATAGGCTTATTATGATGCATTATGCCAGGAATATGTTTCAAAAAGGCATCAGACCTGGTGGGATAATTGCTTATTGTTAACATAAACATTCCAGCTTGAAGGTTTGCCGCCCAATTTAAGAGTTTGGTCATTAACAAGCTTTGTATTGAAGAAGCACCCCAAAAATATTTTGAAAGCAAACATCTGGGGTGGATCAGCACTTTGCTATAAACTGTTGGATAAATTACTTGGAATCTGAGTCAATATAACTGTAAAAAAAGATAACAGAGAAAGCTGGTAACCAGGCACAAAGATGAGCATAATGTGAACAGAAAAATGCTAATGTGCAAAACCTAGTAGTTTGGCACTGTCTCTGGGATGTGGCTTATTTGAATAAGAAATGATGTGACCTTAAAAAACAGTCTGAAGTCTGACATGATGAAAAACAGTGTTGGTTTTTATTTAAAAAATGAATGCGGATTACATCCTTATTATACAGCTTATGGCGATTTGTTGCAGCACATGACCTGAATAACTTCTAGCACATTTGATAATACTTCAAAAATACCAGGTTTGTCCTAAGAATGTCACTGACATCAGATAATTAAAAAAAAAAAATAGGTCTTGAACATAACACAAGCAGTTGACATTAACCTTGTTATTTATTAGTTGCTTTCTTGTGGATATCAGGTGTTAATAAATCAACATGAATTACAAGCTTGATTATTAAAGGTTATAAAACTAGTTTAAAACTGTAAAGCATTGGGTTTCCACTGTAAGTTGCAGCAGTGCAATGCCTGAAAAACAGTGAATTAAGTGAAACTATAAAGACACTATTATTAGCAATCAACACGAGATTTCAAATTCAAATAACTATGATACAGTTTAAATGTTTATTTTTGATAAAATATACATTTCTTATTGCTTAATGAGAGAAACTCACTCACAGGGGTGTGTTTGAAATTACGTAACCCAGATCAGTGTTGGTTCCTTTCTTTCTCTCTATTTTTTGTCGCAGCGCCACTTGGTGGTCAGTTTTGAGAAAACAGTTGTGTTAAGATTTTTAGCGCCCCCTTGTGGAAGAAGTTTAACTAAACCAGCAAAAAGCATAATGCATATAAGACTATTAAGACTGATTCATGCTATTAGTTTTTTGTATCTTTACCAATTTTATATTTGTCTTATTATTTTTACTAACCTTAATTTTATTACTTAATTCTCATCTTTTTGATGAGATAGATGGAGAGAAAGAGTTCAAAAAGACAGAGGGTGGTTTGTCTACATCAGATTGTGGGCATGTACTGAATCTGATCTGATCCAGCTTGGATCAGATCTGAGTTTATGTGAATTGGGTATCTTTATTTTTTTTTTTTTTGTTTGTTTAATAACATTACTGCCACCTATTCAAATGTGAATATCCTTCTCTAGATACATCTGTAAGTTGCTCACCCAGAAATTTATTAAAAAAAAAAAAAAAAAAAAAAAAAACATTACACTCGACAAGCCCAGATCAGCTGAACAAAAGTTGTTGTGTTTCTCTTTCAGTCATTTCCGGTGCGTTCTCTGGGCTGGGTGGAGATGGCAGAACAGGACCTCTGTGAGGGGAGGAGCAGCGTGGCTGTCCACCACTGCATCAGACAACTGTCCTACTGCAGAAGGGATATAAGAGACTCAGCTGGAGTCTGGGGAGAGGTCAGTGTGATTACGTTTTTGATAAAGTCTACAGCGGAGGTGAACGTTTAAAGCAGAGAGTTACAGGTGATGATGGCAACGAATAGGAAGGCAATGGCAAGAACATGAAACCTCTACAAGTTGAAGGTTTAAAACTAGAATCTTCTTGCTGCAAGCTAATGGAGTGAACCACCGCAACACCTCGCCTTGGTGTTATTCTGATGTAAAGACAGAAAACGTGGAGAGAGTAAACACTGCTGCAGACTTTTCAATCAATGAGAAACCGTAATCAGCTTTGGGCTGCAGGTTGAAAGTGTCCCTGTGTGCATTATTCCAGGGTAAAGGCATGCTGTTGGTGCTTCAAGATCGAATGTTAACTCTGATTGACCCAGATGATCGCAGTTTGCTCCACTCTCAACCAATCAGCAGCATCCGTGTCTGGGGCGTCGGGCGAGATCACGACAGGTAGGATGACATAACAGGTTTTTATTTAATTGGAATCGTTTTCAGGATTCTGTTTGCGTATTTGTGCTCGGTATGGTGTGACACCATGAATTTTATAGAAAAATGGTACGAATAAACGATTTAACCATAATTATCCTCCCTGGACATTGGATTCAGCAGTTTTGCTCGCTTAGAAAAGATACTGTGCCACAGTCAGTTGGTAAAATGGCAGATTTTCAGTGCGATTTGTCAGACTGCAGCTGGAACAACAAGCAGTTGCTTTGTAGTTTAATAACAAAGTCTATATGTTGCAAATAAATAAATTAGTGCATACTTTATGATCAGAAATACTTTTTTGCATATATTGAGCAACCTCTGTGGAACATATTCCCATATACAAGCTAAAATCATGTTTCTGCTTTCATGCCCTGATTCAGACAAGGTTATTTATGAACAAAAAAATAATAATTGTCGATACTGGAACAAAATCCATAAGAAAAATAAAGCTAAACTCTACAGTATAGCTTTTGCTGGTAACCCAGATAGCTTTGTGGTTATGTTGGTCCATTAATTCTGCAGCTCTTAATAAATTCCAAGATACCTGCTATGCTTTAAATATCAAGGAGGTGCGAATGGGAACAGACACAAACACACGAGAATCTCCGAACAAACAAAGCTGAAAGTGCATTCTTTAAATTTAATATGTTTGAGTGTGTGTGTGATATTTCTGCTGATGGAAACTGAATCAGGGGTTTTAAAAAGATCACAGGAGAACAGAAATCACCTCATTATTATTCAACCCTTATTTGCACAAACTGCATTTTAAAACACCCAGAATTATTCTTATTCTCCAAGCCTTCGGCTCCCCTGTACGAGCCCCGTGGGACTCTCAGTCATTTACAAATGTCCCATGGTTCTAACTTTTTAGCATTGAGTTGACAATGTGCTGAGGCTAGCATCGCTGCAAATGGGAGATGGAGGGTCTCGTTTCTGTGTCTCAGCACAGGATATTTCTGCATGTAGTACAATGAAAAGTATTTCACAAATAAACAAACAAACAGATTTTGCAAATCTATCATGTTTTTACTGTTTTTGTATCCGACAAATGTTTGCTAAAATTAACACAAAATGAGGATTTTATTCATGGAAGACATGAGTCAAAATCAACCAGATCAGTGTGAAATCATGAATGAACTGTAAATAATCACGTTCTTTATTTAACATCAACGGACACACCTAAACCTGATTACCACCAGACCTGCACAATCAAGTACTTAAACAAAAGCAGTCTGACAACATATAATAGGCTACAGGGATGTTTGATCAAACCAAATTTAATGATGGATGACTCGCCTCTTATTGAGGTGACTCATCTAATTTCTAAAAATTTGAGAATTCAACACACCACAGTGAGATCCATTGTCTACAAGGAGCAGTAGCTTACCTTCCCAAGTGTCTAACAAAAAGAAGGTTCTGGGTGACATGGAGCAAAGTCTGGACTTAAATCTAATTGAGATTATGTTTTGTAACCTTAAACAGTCCAATAACTGTTTATACAATCGAGGAGGCTTTGTTGACTTTTTTTTTTTCTGTTTAATACATGAAATTAGCATTTGAAAACCCTATGAAGTTACTCAGGCCATAGATGTTAAAATCTACTTATCGATCTGAAAGATGTAAATGTGATGGAACAGCAAAACAGAGGCAATCTGTAAAGGAACAACAGTTTTTCCCAGCACTGCATGTTGTTCTCATCAGAGCAGATGGAAACCACCCTTGTCCTCGTATAGAACTCCATTGAAAATCTTTTAGCTGAAAGTAAAGCCACTTTAAAGATCGCCCACTCAATGGTCTTAGATAAGAGAGAATCTGTCGACGTTGCAGTGTCTGGCCCTGAAGAAATCAGGTGAAGATCGAGTTAAAACGTCATCTGTGTGAAACCCGTACACTCATTTCAATCTGTTTTGTTCATTTTCTCTTTATCTTTAAAGCGCTGCTGTGCTCCCCATCTTTCATTTATCCTTCTCCCTCTACTCTCCATTTTCTTATTCTGCCTTTTGAGCACTGTTGCAGCCTCGGCTGCTCATGTGTGAGGGAGATAAAGAGGGAAGAAGAAAGACAGAAAAGTCCCCCCAACCTCTAACATCTCAGAGGACTTAGTAACTTTCAGAAACTCTCTCTCTCAGCGGTAATGGATAAAGCGTGTAGCAGCCGGAGGAGGAGAAGGAGGAGGAGAGGGTCAATCCAACACAGCTCCCTCCTATGCCGTGCTTCCTCACTGCAATCCCTGTCAGCTCTAATAATATTACAATAATGCTCTTTTTATCCTCCCCTTCCCGCCAGGAATTTAAAACCCGCAGTCCCTTTGCTTTGCTCGAGACTTAAAATGCACTACAGGATTTTAGAATAGAATAGAATAGAATAGAATAGAATAGAATAGAATAGAATAGAAGTAACCAGAGGTTTAGATGCATCAGCAGCAAAATCACAACGAATCGAAGCATGTAGTTATACATAAATAAAAATATTAAAACAGAAGGGAGAATGCTATACATACTATATTATAAAGGGAAATTCCCTACATAAAGCTCTCCAGTTGACCAATAGCTCCATGGATGGAGTCAGAGTCATTGTCCATCTGTGATGCTATTTTAGACAGAGTGCTTCTAAATTATCATGTACATGTTAAAAATCATGTACATGTTAAAAAAATGTTGGCATTTTAGACCCTTCTGTCTAAAATGCTACAGTTGTATTTGTTTTTAAATGGGTTATTGTGGATGATAACAATTGTGCCACAGGTGATTTTGTGAAAACCTATTTTTCCTTAACATATTTCCCCGCTGAGTTAATGTACTTGGATGTACGTTCCAGTGTTATGCTATTCTCATGGAAAGAGACGCTGAATGTGTTTCAAGCCTTCTTAATCATCTTCATCCCCTACCGACAAATTGTTGGTCATCTAGAAACATACAGTACATACTCTTAAAAAATACATCTGTTGATTTTGATAAATTTTCAATTCCAAAATGGAGACTTTAGTAGTAATTGATAAATGTAATATGCTTGGTTGTTTTTGTTTGTTTGTTTTTGTGAAAAGCTTTGGAAATGTTTTTTGTGTGCTTGTGTTGCAGTACGGCATGTTAGAAAGATGATGGGATGTTTTGTGTCCGGTGCCTGAGTAAAGGTTTCACTTGCTTAGACCTGCCACTAGAGGGCATTGCCATCAAGTTTTGTTCTTCCTGAGAAGCTGACAGTACCTGACAAAAGTATTTATGGTCCAAAAAGTTATTTTTCACATTTCTTCACCTCAAACCCCAAAACCTTACTGGATTCACCAGGATTGTATGAAATAGAGAATAAACAATGTGACCTGGAGGAGAAATGATGCATGGGTTTCACACTGTTTTTACAAGTAAAAATTTGAAAAGTCTTTGTTTTCTGACCCTTGTGTCAATACATAGCTATCATTTGAGCCTCCACCTGCAAGGCATGTCTCTGCTTTGTACATTTAGAGACAGAAACAGGAGAGGCAGTGGATCAGTGGGAAGAATAGTTGTCTTGAAATCTGAAAGTTGTGGGTTTCATTCCAGCTTCTTCTCCTGAATTGTATTTAAAACTCTTGGGTCGGGCGCAGATCTGCAAGTTGCACACAGGTCTGCGTGTTATTGTATGGATGTGTGAATGCATCTGGGTGTATGAGACTCAAGCAAAAGCACTTTAAATAGTAGGCATGACTAGAAAAGCACTTTTAGGATTACTCAGTATTTTACACCATCCATCTTCCCATTAATCTGTCGTCATTTTCTGACCCCAGTAAGCAACGTGACCCCACAGCATGATTCTGCCTCCACCATGGATCAGTGTAGGAACGGTATGTTGCAGGTCATGTACATTGTTATTTTTCAGCCACACACAGATTGGCATAAAGCCTAAAAATGTCATATAATGTGGTTTGAACATAGGTTTAGCTAAGTTGTGTAGCGACAGGCTCAAGTAAATGATTCAGATTTCTGACATCAAGGAGATTTATTAAGGAATACTGATTGCTTTGTCTGTGCATTTAGATAAAAAAACTACAATAGATACATTAATAAAAAATTAATTTAGGATTTTATCAAGCTGCTAATTTTGGGCCTCAACTCTTAAAACTGAATTCAACATTTTATGTTGTGTGCTGATATTTCTTGCACATGTTTGGACAGATCAAGACTCATTTGAAGATTTGTGGCAGACCAAACCAAAAATAAATCCTTTTTTGGATTTCCACGAAATCCAAACAAAGAAATTTAGGCTGAAAAATATGCAAGTGTAATCAACAGATATTGTAGAAACCAAAAAAAAAAAAAAAGTGCTTTAAATCAAGAACAAAGCACGGTCTTCCCTTTTTGCTCTATCCTTCATCTCTCTTGTCATCTTGTCTTCTCCTGTATCCATCCATCTGAAGAATATTCCCAGTGTGGTCCTGAGTGTGTTCCCTCCATTTCTCCTGCATCTCGATTCAATATGAATGAGTCCCACCGCCTCTAGACCAGGGCGGGGCAGTGCCAGGGGGATGAGGAGGAGGAGGGGTTTGCACCTCGATGAAGTCATGAAGCTATATTTGTAGCACTCAGCAAGTCTCACTGGTGCACGCCTGGTTGCATTTGCACGTGTTTGCATATGCACACATGTATGTGTGTGTAGCTGCAAGGGAGTTTGAACTGATGAAGTTATAGGTCTATATTTGGAGCACTCAGTGTGTGTGTGTTTGTGTGTGTGTGTAGGTGTGTGTGTGTGGTATGTCTATGTGTTTTACCCCACTTCACAATCCCATCATTCTGTCTGTAATGCTCTTGTGCTATTTCCACTCTTTGTCTCCAGCGCTCTTGTCAGCATCCCCTCTTTTGCCATTGGCTGTGAAGCGGTGCCTCTTCTCCCATCTGCCTCTCTTTGTTTCTCCCGCTGTTGCACTTTAGTAAGGGAGGCGCATTCTCCCTTCTGTCCTCCTAGTTTCAGTGAAGCTAGAGAGGGAGAGACGGCAGGATAGAAGAAGAACAGATACTCAAGGCAAACAGAACAGAAAGTGTGCATTGCAGAGAGAGAGGGGGGAGAAGAAGAAGAAGAAGGGAGAGAGAGAGAGAGAGAGAGAGAGAGAGAGAGAGAGAGAGAGAGGGATTATTCCCTGGTTGCACTGACCTGGACACACCAGGACTTTGCAGGAGACTCTTCGGACCGCAAGAGTCGTGGATCAAGGAGCAGGGAAAGGGGGGAGGAAAGGTGTATCTGAGGGAAGGGGAGGAGAAGTAGCAGGGGGAGGGGAGGAGAACGAAGGAAAGGGACCCCAAAGGACCAAAAAAAAGGGAGGAAAAGGAGGAAAGAAAAAGAGAAGAAGCATAAGGAAGAGATTTACCCTGGGGGAGATACGACAAGGGGGCTGAAGCGGTGTCACAACGCTGGTGGAGCTAACGAGGACAGGAAAGTAGTTGTCGCTATCTGGGCGAGGATGTCCTCCAGTGTGAGTACTCCATGTAGTTCAGTCATCCTTCAATTCTCCTTATCCATCGCTCCTTCTCTCCTCTCTGATGATTCCATCCGCTCTTCCTCATGGATGTCACGGTTTTCAGAAGTGCTTGACATCTTTTTATTTTTTTATTTTTTACTAATTTGCTCCTTAGATGCTCCTGCTGTTGTCTTCTCTATCCCACTCATTCTCTTAGTTCATTCAGCCATCAGGTACAGTGGTTTCTGGCTCTCAGCTGCAGCTTTGCAGCCGCTGAGGCAAGACCAAGATACCCAGGGAGTCAGAAATATGGGAGAGAGACCAAGTAAGCAGAGGCAGGATTGGAAAAGACAAGATTAAATAGGCTGGATTTGCTGCGGGGGCTTTTCAAAGTGTTTGTCATGGCTCTTTGGAGCTGTTTGATATTAGACTTGGCTTATTTTTTTTAGTGTGTTGGGGAGTGCTACTATTTTTGGCATTTGCATCTCATTTTGCTGCCTGATAGAGTTTCAGTGAGGATGTGTGAAATTTGTGTGAAAGTGTGCATTTTCCTGCATGCATGGTGTTGCTGTGCTGTTGGACAGGGGACCTCCACCGCGTTTTTTTAATTTATAGGAAAGCTTCTGCATTTTCGAAAGCGAGTCTCTGAAAATGTCTGAGCTGTCTGCAATGTTTCTGTAGTAGATCAATTTCATGTTGTATTCACTTAGCATGTATCCAGATTATCTAGTCTTAGCGCTCCTAGAGGTTGTTGCTTACAGCTCGCCTGTGTAGGTCCAAGACCAGAGTGAACTTCTACCACCTTAGAACAAGTCCTACCTGAAAACCATCATGTGAACACATTTTAACAAACTTCTAACCATCATCGTATTTCTGTTGGGGGTTTATTTACAAAGAGGCTGATGATTATTTACACAGATAACGGAGTCATGCTGACAAAGCATTTACCAACACCACTATAAATTATTTTATTCTTACTTACACATCGAACTGTGTCTCTAATAAGGAACACTGAACATGTTCCGTGTCTGCATTTGGGAATATTTGTGGCACACTACCTGGTCCTGCTTCATTAATAAACAGTTTCTTTGCAATTACCTGCCCATTGTACATCTGACAACAGCTTAAAGATTCATAAAATAGCATTTCCATGATGTCTTTGAGATTGGAGTAACCACCCGACACAAAGATGGCAGCTGAGAGGTTCTTGAAATAGTGTTTGCTGAAATTGATATGAGGGTTTTTTAGTTGTTTTAAGACTTTCAGAGGAGTTGTTAACTTCATCTTCAAGAACTAAAAAAATATGGTAAACGTTATGTTTACTGCTAAAAATGTTCATCATAGCATTCTGGTTCAAGGTGCTTGGTCTTCTCTGGTTATTTAAACCCTATTGGTAAACTCAACACTGCCCTAAACCTTTTATGACGATTAACTCGTAACGTCATGGGATGGAAACTAAAATAAATAAAATCATACCATTTTGTTGAAAAAAAAAGAAAAAAAAGAATTGTGTACAAGTATAATCTTAGGAGATGCTCATTCTGGCAAATTCTTTGCTGGACGCGCATTCAGCTTGGTTGACGGTGCAAAAACATTCCTCCTGGCTCTGATTGGTTGTTTCTGACCGGGAGCGGTGTATTTCTGCAAATAGCAGTAGGACCACTGGGAGCAGCCAGAAGAGCTTTTTTTTTTTTTTTTTTTTTTTTCACAAATTATCTGTGATAATTTGTGAAAATGTATATCAGTATGTATAATGTATATCAGTATATCAGTATACCACTGATATACTGATATACCATCAGTATATCAGTGGGATATACTGATGGTTTTAGCAAATTTGTTAAAAATATATTTTTGTAAAAGTTACCTACTGCAGCTTTAACAGAACCGCACTTTATAGGAAAATAATGCAAAGAACAAATAGCTGGTCTGGAGGAATTTACAACACACAACTGCGCCTGATACCATTTACATTTAACTCCTATAAAGATGTTAAAAATGTATTAATTCTTTGTTTGCGTTGACTTGATGTTGGCCTGTCTTGCCTTTTAAGCTTCGCCCCTGCCCACTAGTGAATCATGTGAGCAAACACATAATACTACACTTCTACAAATACACATTACTTGCACGTTTCATTCATATTCATTAGTGGGCAGCAATGGGACTCTTGCCTATTCCCTTCAGCTCTCACTTATTCCCCACAGCTGCTGACCTTCGGTGGACAGCTGTGGCATATAGAGGAAAAAAGAAGAGAGGAGAGGAGGCAAACACGCCTCCAGTATTATGAATTTTTAAGATCTCAACACATTTCTTGCAATCTCCTCACATTTATGTCTATGGAGTGAGTTTTTGCGAGGGGGTCTGGCTGCTGGCAAATGCTCCACAAGCTTTTATTTGCTGATCTCAAGGCCTTTCTAGCCCTAATTAACATGCAACATGTCCTTCTGATGGTCCCCCAGGGTCAGAGCCTCAACACCTAGACCTATTTGATAGATGTCAGAGTGATTGATGGCCATTGCTCCCCGCTCCTGCTTTGATCTGAGTCGCTCCTTCCCATCAGCTCCTTTCATTTACCCACAATTCATCACTCCAGCTTCCTAGCTGCTTTTATCGAGATAGAAAATGGTCATCAGCGGTCACCAGGTCGGTACAGGTTGTGTCCCCTGCCTCTCTTATCCCTCGCTCAGAGTCAGATGTCATCACATCCTTTCTGAATTTCAAATGCTTACGAAACTCCTTTGTTGTCATGCAGTTTTCCCGTCTCTGCAGCCTTCCTGCTCACTTCCTTACATTAGCATTGTTAGGGGCACACCTGCTGTAATACTTGTCTTCCTGAAAGATTACCCCTCCTGCTCTCCCTACAGATTCCCTCCCTATCCCCGTCCGCCAATAAATCTCTTCCTGATAAAATCCTCTCTGGCTGTGGCACATAGAAATTTGTGAAACTGTTTGCAGATCATTGGTGTCTGAATGCAGGTGGAACAGTAGACAGTCACTGTGTCCCTGTTGCATCCTTTCAAACATTTAGTTACGTAGTACTCTAGTACTGCATTTTCTGGGGAGCTAGTAGAAACCGATCCATTTAGGATATAAATTTGATTTATTTTACAGATTACTAAAAAACATGCAAGTCCATTGCATTTTTAGCAGTAACAAAATGACAGTGCATTTCAACAGTTGAATAATTCACCCAAAAAACTCAAATACACCTAAAGATGCATAGATTATATATATACTTTTTGCTTGGTATCCAGTCAAGAATTTTCTTAAAAATGATATTTACACTAAACTTTTGCATCAATGAAAATCTGATATGTGGAAAATCCATCCATCAGTCATTTACAAGACGGATCATAAGTGGCTTTTGTTTTTCCTTTTTTAAATCACAAGATGCATTCGAAATAACAGCGGTTCCCAACTTTTTTATGTGAGAGGAAAAAAACTCCTAAATTGAATGCTATTTGTTATATTTTTTAATTATTCACATATTGTGACTATGAGGGAGCTGTAGACAGCTTTTCTGGTGTGAACAATTGTTAATTATTAACTTTAGAGGGGGAAAGGAGTCAGAGTTGCACAAGTCTATGATGTTATACAGAATTTTTCTGTTATGTCAAAAAAGGAACAACAAAAATATCAAGAACAGAGTCGAGATTTTAAACTGCCTTGAAGCATTTTTACACTATCATTAAGCGAGATTGACATGATTAGCATGGTGAATATCACTCCCTGTAAACATCCGTCTATAGAGTTAGCGTACATTTCGCTTAACTGTTTGAAAGCTTTTCAGCATTTCTTAATCTGGCACGCTTTGCAAAACACAAAGAGGAAGAAACTTTACTGCTATTTCTTTCTGTTATTTACTGTCCATGTCTGGCTCCAGAGTTTCTTTTCTAGAAGCTTCTTACACCTGTTATGCTTCCTAAGATTGAACTTTTTAGACATCTCACTGACCTGATAACAGCCAGTCAAATTCTCATCTCCCTGTCTTTTGTGGTAAACATTTCAGGAATGTTTGCTTTTCCAACAACTTAAAACCGAAAAGAAGACACTGAGCAGAAATATCAACAATGATGTTTTTGTGAAATCGCTTTCCCTGTTTAAAATTCAAATGAAGCAGAACTCCCTGTGAATGAATATTTTATCACATGAATAACTTAAGTTAGGAAAGTTTTTTGTACAGTTCAATAGGTCTGTGACCTGTGCAGCTGCTCAGTGGCATCTTTTTGGTGTGAAATTTAGGGAGTTGGTTCTTTTGTTGCTGAGACGAACATCACCAATGAAGGTCAGTTAACCTTGTCTGCCAGGCACTGCCCTGATTTTTGTCTGATAATTCACTGGACACTGGCTTACAACACACAAAATGCGTCACTGGCTTGACGGTGAGAAGTAGTGTTTTATATTGCATTTCAAAGTGGGGGCCTGAATGGTGTGTGTTTCTGTTTTACAAATCAGTGATATGTTGGGGGTACGTTGTGTTTTCTGGTGGAGAATGAAGTGTCAGGGGTGTTACTGTTGTTTGCTTGTTCCTCCTCATTAAGTAAAAATTATGAAGCAACTTGGCCCAGTTTGTGCCGTATAAATCAACATTTATTTTAAACGTTTATTGTATGTGTTTCTGCTTTATTTTCAAATAGAATATAAAATAAACGGAGTAGGACTCTTAGTGCAGGCTAATTCTAAAACTTACTTTCATTGTTACAAATATAATGCACATTTTTGGAAAGCTAGCTAAAAATTTATTTTATTGCAACCTTTGCAAAGAAAAAATTGTAGAGGTTAAAGCCTCTACAACTTTTTCTTTATATTATAAGCAGCGTTATTATATTCCCCTCAATTGTGTTCGATAGAGCAACATTAGGTAGTGCCTAATTATGAACTAGAAAGAAAATGACACAGATTGCAATTTGTACATAAGTAAAGATCCAAAATGTGTTGCTTGCATTTATAATCGTCCTCCTCCTATCAAACATTTTGTGGAAATGCATTTCTCCCTTTGAACTCGGTCAAACTTGAAAGATGGATCTGTGCAAAGAGCAATTTCCAAGACTTGTCACAGTCTCTCAGTCGGTTTCGGTCTGCACAAGCAAAACCACTTTCCATCTCCCGGAGCAACTCTGTCCAGCTTCTCTGTTCCTGTAAAGGAAAGAAAATCCCAACATCATGATCCTGCCACCACTATGTTTCGAAACAGACACTGCTGTGTTTAGGCAGAGTGTATTTTTAAAAATTACACATAACTTTTAACTACTCAGAAGCACATTTGCCATTGAACAAGTTTCATCGCATGGCAGCTTTCGCATATTAAATATCTGATATATTCTATGAGAAAACTTTCAGTCAGCTGTCTGCTAACCATCCTGGTCATCCAGTTATGTAAATTTTAAAGGAAGATAAGCAAATGCAGACATATTTCTACTCACTGAAAATCTGGGCCAGTGGAATTCATTTGGTTGAGATATTAACATTTAAAACAATATCCCAAAATGCTCTGCAAAGTCTGCAAAACTCTCTGCTGACTGAAAAATGCTCTTGCTTGATACTTCTCTCAATGAGAGAAAACATTTAGAAATTTTCCAGGCATTCTGCCTGTGAACAACACTGCGAGGGATTCAGCGTACCTGGGGACCAGAAAGAGCACGAACACGCCTGCATCTCACATGTGCAGGGAACACGATTTATGGCACACGCAGCTAATTAGGTTACATGCAAACCATGCGATCTAAACCACTCTGTAAGCCAAGCTTGGAAGAACTTGACTCCAGATTTCTGCATGCTTCCATTCTCTGCTGCTGTCACACAGACACACACATCAGTAGGAAACATGAATGGGGGTGTCCATCTGAAATGACATCTCACTGAAGCTTTGTGTGAATAGAGAATATTCGAGTTTCTTAACAACGTAAATCACATATTCCAGAGTGGTGTGATGTATAAATGATCAAGAGCAGAGAAAACTGCAGGACATTTTCTCCTTCTCTTTCTCCTTCTCCCACCTACACAGCGCACCCCTTACCCCTCACCCCCCTGACATCTCTCACTTTAAAACTCCTTTCCCACCCAACCATCCCTGCTATTAAATATGTAATAAAACGCAATGATTGTTGACACATGGCTGCTTCCTCTGCATGCTGCCCCTCCCTTCTTGGTTGCCTTAGTGCCACATTGAATCCCTGGAATTGGGTCACAAAGCTGCATCGATATAAACTGCGTGTGTGTATGTGTGTGTATCCGTGTATGTTTTTTTTTTTTTCTTCCCCCCACCTTCGATAAAACACTATTTTGTTTTTGTCTTTCCCCCGCCAGATTTGTAAATCAAATGATGCAGAGTTATTGAGGATCTGTCACGCTGAGTCAAAGTGGCTGCTGTTGTAAACAACAGCAGCTATTTGCTTAGATCACACAGCCAGAGCAGCGTGCCGTTTAAAATGCCATAAACAGCCGTTTTACTTTTAAGCGTCCATTTCATTTTTGCACTGGTTCCTCTCAGCTCTTGGCAATATCTGCGAATTTGTGTGATTGTGTCTGTCTGTTCGCCTGGAGTGAGAGCAGAGAGAAAGAAAATGTGTGTCACAGGGTAACAGCGGGGGCCTCCTCTGGCCCCCAGGTGCTCAATTTGCCGCTCATCTTGGTGCTGTAAACACGTTTATGGCGTAGAGAGGTAATTACGCACAGACAATATACATTAGAGCTAATGGTTGTGGGTTGTGACTAATTCAGCAGGTCACAGAGGGGTTTGTCGGTCTCAGCTATCACATTATGGACAGTAGGCTGCTGAATGTTGCTTATTAACTGAAAGATTCAGCTTTAACCCCTTGTCACTACGACTTATTACCATTAAAGGGGTAGTTTGCATTTTAGGAAGTAGGTTATAGTCCAGTACGTATAATGTTGTTTGAACTCGTTTTGCTTTTTCAAATGTATTTGTAGCCTTTGAATTTGCTCTACAACAGCACTAATGTTACAAACAAAATTCAATGTATTTTATTTGGATTTTTATGATTTACTCAATTGTACTTCAGTTGCAATTATAAGTCTTCAAAAGACATTTCGCTGTCAGCTTTGCATATCTAGAGCTTGAACATTTTCTTTTTAAATTACCTCCTTCTCAGCCAGAGAGTCTCTATTTGATTTGTGTCTGGATTTTTGCTGGATTTCTCTAAAAATGTAATGTCTTTGGTTCTAAACCAAGAGTTTCAAACTATAGCCCTGGAGGGGGACTGCCTTGCAACTTTTATATGCATCACCGGTCCTATACAGCAGAATAAAATAGCTCAATTAGCTCCTCAGCATGTCATCAGATTCTACAGAGTCTTGCTAATTACCTAATAATTTATTTGGGGTGTTTTCAGCAGAGACACATCTAAACATTTTATGGTACACCAGCCCCAGAAGACTGGAATTTGTGAACACTGCTGTGAATCCATCATCTGTTGTGGCTCTGGTTGTGTCTTTAGGGTTGTTGTAATGTTGGGAGGTGAACCTTTGCTCTAGTCTGATTTTTCCGACCTTAAATTGATTTTCTTATAGGATTAACCCAGCCACTTTCCATGGTGGAGAAAAATACACCCACATTAAGATGTTGTAAACCATACTTTTTACTTTTACGAAAAATTATGGTTATC